GGCCGCCCGCCCGGCCGGCCCAGGGGGGGGGCCAGACGTGGGACACTGAACACCAGCTCTGCGTTGTGATATTCAGTCTTCCACGCTTAGCTTCTCCTGAGAACTGTGACTGTCAGCGATGGCTCCAGTGTGACACAGTCAGACTCATGTGACACAGATGCTCACGGGTGACAATTTCTGTCTTGTGCACTCACAGAGGAAGGCAGCTGAGTTCTGACTTCAGAGTCTGGACAATCAGCTTAGACATCTCGGTGCTCATCTGCTGTGATGCTATGTTGCTTAGGATCTAAGAAAGCCACTGCAGATCAGAGAAGCAAAGCAGCCAGCACTAGAGAGTTCTCCCCTCTACCAAGGCTGAAACGGAGATCTTGTCTTCCCTGTGTCTGGAAACTAAATCTCACATGAGAACCTTTGCTTCTTTCCTGATCCAGCTCTCCAATGCTGGAATTAAAGGCGTGAACTCTTTTAGACCGATACACTTTCCTGTAGTCCTGGGTGGTCTTGGACTTACAGAGATCCACCTGCCTCTGTCTCCTGAGTCCTGGGATTACAGGTGTGCGTCACCACTGCCCGGCTTCTGTAACTAACTAGTGTGGCTAGCTTTGCATTCTGATTCCCAGATTTATTAGATCATAAACAATATGTCACCGCAATCTGCAGACAGGGAGATTGGAGCTACAGATGGCTGCCTTTGCCAGGATCCCTTTGATTCTGCTTTCATCACATGGAGAGCATCCTCCCCTGCAGATCTCTGAAGATCCTACTTCCATTGTCCCTGCTGTGTTCTGTGAAATGGGTTCTTCTTCATTCAGGCCACTTTTGCTTCTCTTTTTCTTTTGCTGCAGTTTTCACAGGTATTAAAATGTACAATCTACAAATACTCAGAGCAGAGAGAAACACACATGCACACACACACACACACACACACACACACACACAGAATGTAAATTACAACCTAAATTGTGCAAGAGCACGCACATCTCATGCCCCAAACTCACGTTGTATCCTGGGCAGGAAAACAGCAATGGTCGTATTTCTCAATGTCCCAGACAGCACGGCACCATGAGCATTCAGAGCAACGAAGTTCTTGCAACAGGCTCCAAATGAGGAACCCCAGAAACCACACTCCAGTGTTCCAACTGTCATCAGCAGTGAGTAACAGGCAGGCGTTAAGGAGAAAGCAGCCCTTATTCTATTGAAGGAACTCAGCCCCAGGAAAAACATAAACAGCGAGGAGGCAAGAACAGCTCTGAAGCCTGTTCCCACAGAGACGGGTGTGGATGCGTCCTTCCATGCGGGGGTCTGTTCGTCAGAGGAAGCCACACCCAGAACCACGAGAACAGCTGTGCTTCCTTCTCCATCTCCATTCTCAGCGTGAAGCTTGAGGCACAGGGCACAGATGGGCGCTCAGTGTGCCGGCTCCACCGCATCCAAGCTGCAACATGACCCTGTATCTTGCCAGAAGCCTTTTTAGTGCTAGGAGAATTCCGTTCTCTGCCAGGACCCCGTCGCGCTGTGCAGATGGGTGAGCTGAAAGAGCGGATTCTCCATGCAGAGTTTATAAGAAAGAAGGATTAGTCTTCAGCCACCCTCAGCTGCAAGGGGGCTCAGCAAAGGCAGGCTGTAGGGAGAGACCCAGATTACAGGTACTGCAGACCAAGCCCGTTTGGGCGTGGTCGCAGGTAGGTAGCAGGGGTGTATAAGAGCCAGTGTCTGCTCAGCCTAGAGAGGGGTAGCGTGCTGGCCTCCCTGGCTCTTATACACCCTGCTATAGACCGGTGTCCACGCCCAAATGGGTGTGGTCTGCAGTACCTGTCTCTGTAATCAGGGTCTCTCCCTACCGGAGGCAACAAGTCTGTTTGCTGCTACTTTCTTAGTGAGATAGGTTAGGGAAGATGATCACTTCTGTAAGAAGTTCTGGAGTGCATCCAAGCCACAGCCCTAAGGAAATGAGAGAGGCAGTCGTCTAGAAAGGGCTGTTTCCTTTCCCATGCGTGTTCCGAAGAAACAGCCATGTGATGCGGGGCATGCAGTTTCTCTCTAAAGATCTCATACTCTGTGCTGTTTGGCTATCCAGCCAGACTCTGTGGTGTCGACCATAAGTACAGTTGCAGCCTCTGAGAGAAGGTGCCATGACCTTCATCTTCACAGCCCTGCTCTATCTGGGTAAGATTGGAAGAAGAGAAGGGGATTAGGGTCCACATAGCCAGGATCCTGCCAATCAGGAAACCCCAAGGTGTTTAAGTGGCTCCGGTGAAGGGACCACTTGCTTATGTAGACAACAGGGGGAAAGTTCTGACAAGGGCCTCTCTTCTAGGGCTGTGTCTGGGCCGAGAGACCTCAGTGTTGGCAGGTGAGTATGTGTGTAGCTGTTCCAGATCAGTCATCACTGGTGACCTGAAGATACCCTTGCTCAGCGGGGCATGAGAACATCGGGTGATACCTGGAAGGGGGGGTCTGGAAAAGAAGGATGACATCTGAGGGGGATGTCCTATGACAGAGCCCCTCATTTCTTTTCAGGGAATCCTCCCAAGCCAACCCTCAGCGTTCAGTCAGGATCAGTGGTTGCCAGAGGAAAGCAGGTAACCATCTCATGTGAGGTGACCACAGGGGCCCGGGAATACCGTCTTTACAAAGAGGGGGGTCCGCATCCCTGGCGCTCACAGAACACACCGGAGGCCACAAACAAGGCTGAGTTCTTGATCCCGTCAATTGAACAACAACATGGAGGGAGATATCGATGCTACTATAAGACCCCTGCTGGGTGGTCAGAGCACAGTGACCCTCTGGAGCTTGTAGTGACAGGTGAGAGAACACCCAGGACCGAGCTCTACCCCCAGGAAAAAGGGTCTGTTTTCTTTTCAGGAGTTTCCTTATTTCACAGCCCAACACTGGGAGGCCACAAGGGCTGCGGAAGCCCACTTAACATGTTACTGCTTTCTCTCCTAGGATTCTATAGTAAGCCCAGCCTCTCTGTCCAGGCCAGCCCTGTGGTGGTGACCCCAGGAGAGACTGTTACCCTCCAGTGTGGCTCACAGCTGGGATTTAGCAGGTTTGTCCTGACTAAGGAAGGAGAACGGAAGCCTTCCTTGATCCTGGACTCAGTGTTTATAAATTCCACTGGGCAATTCCAGGGTTTGTTTTCTGTGGGCCCTGTGAACTCCAGCCAGAGGTGGACATTCAGATGTTACGGCTATCAGGTGACCAGCCCCCAGGTGTGGTCGGAACCCAGTGAGCCCTTGGAAATACATGTCTCAGGTGAGGAAGCACCATGGTTGACTCCATCAGTTGTTGACAGTGTTAAGTTTTTGTTGTTGTTGTTTTTTGTTTTGCCATGATTTCTGATTTTTCCTAAGGGAGTCTCAGGAGTCAGGAGGATGAGGGAAACTGAACCAGAGCCCCAGTGCTTGTGTGTGTGTGTGTGTGTGTGTGTGTGTGTGTGTGTGTGTGTGTGTGTGTGTGTGTGTTGGGGTGGTGGGTGGCAGGAGCTCCTACAGGTAGGGTGAGAGGGGACAGGCATTTGACAGAGACCAGCATTTCCACCCAGCCCATTTTCCCTGCAGGGCTGCATAGGAAGCTCTCACTGCTGAGCTCGCAAGGCCCTCGCTCCTTCCCCTGGAGAGAATCTCTTTTTATGTTATGAAAGGTTTTCTCTGTCCAAAGGATGGGCAACTGACCTCACCCACATCCTTGGCCTATTTTACCAAGCTGGGCTCTGAAAGCCGACTCCCCTTGGGTCCTGTAAGCACCCCCAGAGGGGCTGGTACAGATGGCATGGTGTCCAAAATATCTCCTTCAAGAGGTCAGTACCTAGTGACCCTGTGGACAACTTGATTATAGTTGAGGAGACGAGTGTGTCCACTCAGAGACTCAAGACTGCAGAGCACAAGATGATGAAGAAACGACAATGAGCAGGAAGAAAGACGGGAATCTCAGGACCAAAAAACCAGGAGGTGGGGTCGGAGCAAAGTCGTGGAAAGTAGGAATAGATCCGAGTCACTGGAGAAAGGTTCAGAACCCATCTTTCTTCCTCTAGGACAGATAGCTCTCTGTCACATTCTCTCTCAGTGAAGCCAGGCACCATGGTATCCCCCAGAGAGAAAGAGATCCTGTCAATCTTTGAAAATAATGGACACTTTTTATTCTGACCAAGGCAAGAGTAGCTGCTTTTTTTTCGGTGTCTAAGATCAGTGTTTCCTAGCTCAGCAGTATCGGGCAGAATTCCAAATGAGTGCTGTGATCTCCCCTCTTGGAGATATTTAAAGATGCTGTGGTTGTTGAAACTCATAATCCTATCTGTTGTCTTGCCACAGCCTGCCCCTGTGGAAATCAAGGTCTTAGGTCAAAGGACCCTCACCTGTCCTGTCTGTGCTCAAGTGTTCACTCATTGCCCTGCTCCCAGGAGAACTCTTGCCTCTAATTATACATATTAGTGAAATTCAGGGAGGCTTTGTTCTAAAGTGACTCTGATGCAAACTTTGAACATGAAGATTAGAGTGGGTTTGAAGTATCCAGCAAGGAGACCAGTAAGGACCCGGGCTACATAAGATTCTATTCCAAAGATGACACCAACTAACAATCTAAGCAACAGAGGAGAGGCTACCTTAAATGCCCTCTCCTGATAATGAGATTGATGACTAATTCATATGCCATCGTATAGCCTTCATCCAGCAACTGGTGGAAGTAGAAGCAGACACCTACAGCTAAGCCTTGAACTGAGCTGAAATCCAGATGCAGAGAAGGAGGAGTGATGAGCAAAGGGGTCCAGACCAGGCTGGTGAAACTCACAGAAACAGCTGACCTGAACAAGGGAAAACTCTTGGTCCCCAGACCAAGAGCTGGGAAGCCAGCATGGGAGTGATCCAGACCCCCTGAATGTGGGTGTCATTGAGGAGACCTTGGAAATCTCTGGTGCCTCTTGTAGTGGGTCAGTACTTATTGCTACCCTAGGAATGGACTTTGGGAGCCCATCCCACATGGAGGGATACTCCCTGAGCCTAGACACAAGGGGGTTGGCCTAGGCCCTAACCCAAAGAATATGACAGACATTGAAGACCCCCTATGTAAGGCCTCACCCTCCCTGGGGAACAGAAAGGGTATGGGATAGGTAAGGGGTTAGTTGGGGGGGGCAGGGGAGGAGGGGAGGGAGAGGGACCTGGGATTGACCTGTAAAATAATTTTCTTTCTAATAAAAAAAGAAAAAAAAAGAAAAGAAAGAAGGAGAAAAGAAGACAGACTGGAAGTTAGGAAAGGAAGAAGGAAGGAAGGAAAGAAGGAAGAAAGGAAGAAGGAAAAGAGGAGAGAAAGGAATGAATGAATGAATGAGTGAGAGGCAGGGAGGCAGAGAGGAGCAGAGTATGAAATTAAATTAAGAAAATTGAACTTGCTAAACAATATAGTGCACCTTTTTATTCCCAGGACTCAAGAGGCAAAGGCAGACAGATCTCTGAGATTTCAAGGCCAGTCTTGCCTACCTTGAAAGGATAATGACAGCCAAGTCTACAAAAAAAGAGATTCTGTCTCAAATAACCAAATAAAAAAATAAGAAATTTGGGGGCTATTTTAAAAATTATTGTATAAAATATTACAGGAAAGTCAAGCATATGCAAAAACTTTAAATTGTTTCCTTTATTTTTTTACATTTATTTCAGTTTTAAAAATAATTTCACACATAACTATTTATTTATACTATTTCTACCCCTTTCCCCTCTTTCTCCAGCTCCTCCTATGTATCCTTCACTCCTCAAATTCATGAACTTTTCTTTAATGATTGTTGTGTGTGTATATATAAATAGAACATGCTGTACATGAATACAGTGCTGCATTTAGTATTGTGTGTGCGTGTGAGTGTGTGTGTGTGAGTGTGTATGTGTGTGTGAGGTGTGTATGAGTGTGTGCGTGTGAGTGCATGTGAGTGTGTATGAGTGTGTGAGTGTGTATGAGTGTGTGAGTGTGTGAGTATGAGTGAGTGTGTGCCTGTGAATGTGTGAGTGTGAGAGTGTGTGCATGTGAGTGTGTGAGTGTGTGTATGAGTGTGTGTGAGTGTGTGAGTGTGTGTGTATGAGTGTGTGTGAGTGTATGAGTATGAGTGTGTGTATGAGTGTGTGAGTGTGTGAGTATGAGTGTGTGAGAGTGTGAGTGTTTGAGTGTGTGTGAGTGTGTGAGTATAAGTGTGTGTGTGTGCATGTGAGTGCGTGTGTGTGTGTGTGTGTGTGAGTGTGTATGAGTGTGTGAGGTGTGTATGAGTGTGTGTGAGTGTGCATGAGTGTGTGCGTGTGAGTGTGTGTGAGTGTGTATGAGTGTGTGACTGTGTATGAGTGTGTGAGTGTGTGTATGAGTGTGTGAGTATGAGTGTGTGTATGAGTGTGTGAGTGTGTGAGTATGAGTGTGTGAGTGTGAGTGTGTCTGAGTGTGTAGTGTGTGTGAGTGTGTGAGTATAAGAGTGTGTGTGTGTGTGTGTGTGTGTGTGTGTGTGTGTGTGTGTGTGT